TGGCTCACCAATACTCATGAAGAAGGTGCCTGTACAATACAGCAAACAGAAACAAAGAAATCCCTCACCAAAAAATGAATCTTATAAATGGGTGACAAAAAGAATGAATTAAAAACTGTCCTTTTCATGTAGCCAATGATGAATTAGGAAGACTACTGCAGGAACCACATTATCTCTTTCTAGTTAATTGCTGAAGACTGAAAGAGCAATGATTTGGTTGAGTGTTATTTCCCCTAATGTTTTTACTGGCCTAACAAAGAAAAGAATGCCCAAGATTTTAGTCTTGTTTATGGTCTATCACGCTTAACTTGCATTTCTTTAAATTTAATCTCCAGCAAAGCTCAGTTGTAATCTTTCTAACCAAATTCCTTGCATATTAGACACATGGTCTTTACTATTGCTGTGGCAAGCTATGTAACATAGGTTCTACATAATATAAGCAATATATAATTTACTCAATGTGGCTGTTCCAAAAATGGAAAAATAAATACAAGAATTGCTTTCCAATTTGAGAATATTTGTTTCTATTTATTAAAAGGGGAAATCCAAGATACCAAAATGAAAACAAAAGACCTAAATCCATCACTGGCAAACATTTGTATGATAATGACATATGATGTGAAGTGAGTTTAATTTTGCAAACATTAAGATTGCCAAGAATGGTTAACAATGAGGGTGATTCTACATTGAATTGGCACTTCTGCCAACCTGATAGATGTCAGATACTCTATAGCTTTATCAGCTTGCGAATCAAAGAATACATGCATGTGGTAAATGACATATTTTAAGCTATTTCTGCTTGAGGAACATCAAATGTAAAGGGTGAATGTTTCCCAAATTTTTCAGAGGAGGTTCATCAGTTGGCAGATTCACAAGCATCAATCCATTCATTGTAGACATCAACAGCTTCAGAGAGATAATTAATAGTACACTGGAAGTCCTCCAGACAAACACGGCAAGACACCCTTCCAGCATTTCGTGGTTTGTCCCTGCAAACAAAGAATTAACAATTACTCACCACAAAGACATTTACCATAAAATACTACCCAACTTTATAGATTATACTAGCAAAGTTCAAATTTCCTTAAACAGAGTTACTTTCACTGCAACATACAGTATTTGTTGTAGCCTGGGAAGATTTGCAACAGACTATATTATAAGCAAAAAAAACATGAAGGCTACAAACTTTATTTAAAGAACAAATAAACTATTTGAAAACTGAACTCTTTACAATACAAATGGGGTTATAAGAGCATAAAACAATGCAAGGAAATATAAATATATATAGGAGAAATGATGCAACTTAATCATATTGCAAAGAAATCTGCAAGAAAATGTGTATATATATGTAAGTTGGAAAACAATGGAATCAACATTGAAAATGAATGATCCAAGTACTGTAAAGTATGCCAGTATGAGGACATAAGAAAGAATATTAAATTTGTTAAAATAAAAGTCAGTATATAACATGCTTGCATGTATCCTGAAAATTAAGATGTTTGCAATGATGACTTAGTAAACTGTCTTTAGTTAAGAAAAATTGTCACTGATAATCAAAATGCTATACTTACATTTTAACCTCACAAGATTTCTCGTGGTTACAGAATGGGCAATTGAATTGTGTGTCTAAAGGTTCAATATTCTTCCTTTTGGGGGGAGGCTTCCTCTTTGACTTACGGCGTCCCATGGTCCTTGGGCTTTTAGAACAGACCTGAAAAATAAGTTTTTCAACACATGTATCACCTTTCAGAGGAGTTATACTTATACAATCACTAAACCAATGTCTTTATATGACAGAACCCTAATGGTGAATGTTAATGGGCTTATACTCAAAAGCAGATTTTATAACATTAATACAATTTGCATTCTACTTCACAGAGTTTTGTGGAATTCATGTCAAACAAATTGCAAGTAGGACAACGAAGGGATATACAGGAAAAAACACGAATATGCTGAAGGCCCTTTCACATTAACTTACTTGTAATTATAATTGGATAACCCAATATAGAATTTACAAATGTAAGATTTCCTAAAGCATGAATACAACATTCAAACCTTATAGAAATAGCTAATAACCAGCTGTATATCCTGAGCTTTACCAAAACATGATTGTCCCCACTGCTAACCAACAAACGCCTGCGGTCGGTTGTGAACCAAGGCCATCAACACTTCACTAAACAGGAATAAATAATTGCCTCAATGAAATTCAATAACTAAAGAATAGATTTTCATAATACTAAAGAGTTTTGCTCAATGAAGGTACAACACAGATATACCAAAGGTATAAACAATTGTTCCAATAATATCCTAAAATTTTCCCAGACTCTATGATAAAAAGCCTTTCATTCATCACAATAACCATTTAAATTCAGTACATATATATTCAATATATAATTATCTCTGGTATCAACATTTTCTGTCTATGTGACTCGCAATTCAAAAGAAACATGCATTCTCATCATCATCTGGGGGCTAACGCCAACCAGGTCACATGGCTGCATCCACCCTTCACTTCCAGCCATGGGGGCCCCATGATCCAGCATAGGGACTTGTTACAAAAGGCATCAAGACAAGACTCCAAGCACTAGACAGTGTCCAGGTTTCCCTTCCATAGAGCAAAACTGGCAGTATCAAGGCCCTGAAACTTGGTCCTTCTGCATAGGTACCGACATCTCGAAATGCTCCTGTTCACCAAGTTCAAGGTTCCTGCTGCCAGACCAATCCATCTGACAGCCCAGAGACATGGACTATACACTATCATGTAAATGTAAAGCTCTCTGTGATCTTGATCCAGGAGACCTCACTGAGGCTCACAGGGAGGCTTATGTAGACATGCTCCCTTTTTTGCACTAGGCTAACCAATGGTGGCATCTGAGAGCAAGAATGCAAGCAAGCACTTAACTTAATGGGTTAATACTACCTATCATAACACTACTTCACATCACCCTGAGCATGAAGCAGCCACCCCTGTATACTTCATTTATATATATATATATATATATATATATATATATATATATATATATATATATATATATATATATATATATATATATATATATATATATATATATATATATATATGTATATAGGTATATATAATGTGTATATACACATACATACATACATATATACATTATTGCTATTACTCTTGAATCCCCTGCTGAGGCCAAAATATAGATTTCTGCAAATCACATAAACTGCAAAAATGTAACATTAGTACTCTGCCTGCAACACAATTTTTGGTTCATTTTTTAACTATGACAATCGGGTCTTCCCGGACAATATTTTATCATCTGCCAACAATCTTGATGTGATGTGATAAGTCCTGATAGCAGGGCATAAAGTCCATCAGGGAAGTTATGGTGGGATTTATACACTACTATCTATATATTCCCTAGCCAGGGGGCTCTGCCCTCAAGACCTTAGTGGTAATATATACACCTAAACAGATCCCTCGTGGTAATCGTACAACCTGTCCTAACCAATACACTAAACAGATCCCTCGTGGTAATCGTACAACCTGTCCTAACCAATAAACCAACCGAACCTTAACCCTGTGGGATTTATACACTTTGATCTATATTTCCTATATATTCCACATAATCCAGATCCCCTGTGCCAATTACACAATCCATCTAACCAATAGAACAAGCTAACCTTAACCCTGTGGGATTTATATACTACAATCTATATATTCCCTAGCAAGGCGGTTCTGCCCTCTGGACCCCTATAGTAATATATATGCTAGCCAGGGGGCTCTCCCCCTAGACCCCATAGTAATATATACACATAGTCAGGCAGCTCTGTCCCCTGGACCCCATTGGTAATATATGTGCCTAGCCAGGGGGCTACACCCCCTAGAACCCCTTGGCTTTAATAAAATACGATCTATATGTTCCCTAGCCAGGGGGCTCTGCTTCCTGGAGCCCCAAGGTAAAACCATATTTTTATATAGCAAAATACCAAACTGTTCTTTGATTCCGTCTACAGTCAGAATTGCTTGGTTTCTAATGACTTTTCTTCAGCATTTGAGGCACTTGATGGGTTTAAATATAAGGCTGTGACAGATACTAATGTCTATTTGTTCTGTATATCCACAATATGGCTTTAAAAATGACCTGGAATTGAGGCAACAATTACAATGAAACATTTCTCACCAAATGGCATCACATGGCCTGTCAAATCTCCTGATGGCAAAATGTGCATTCGCAGGTTATTTTACAGAATAGCGTAGCTAATTACCAAAACACAAGAAAGACGTATAATAAAACTAAAAGAATGTATTACATACACAAATTCAGAAAAACAGAATAATCATTCTTACTAGTGCATAGTAATACATGGAAAACTTGATAGATTGCAGTAATGTAGTCCACATCACATTTGTTTTGCTCTTCACAAGGTAAACACAAAGGGGACTTAGAAATTGATGGGTCTATCTTCTATCTTCTCTGTCCTGTATCTCCTTTACTTTCGATCTGCGCATGTTATGCCATCAATGAAAAGTGTTTTAGTTTTTGTTAAGGTAACCATTCCATTCACTTGTATTTACTGTAATCCTGATTGTCATACACAGAAGAAAATTCCCATTTTTTGGTGGATTTCCACATAAACAAATTACAGAAATCTAGCAGACTTGGTGTTTGGGGGGTTTAGCAGTACAACCAACTATAAAGTAACAATAAATTTTAAGTTCTGCAAACTTAAAGCCTGCAGTTTCACTGGGACACCTCATGCCCTCCCTACCTACTGAATCTAACATCATCATCACTGTCACTGCCTTGTACCTACTAAATTTCATTAAATATGCACACTATACATTTGCAGTCCATGCTACTACATTGACTGGATTTTAAGCTGCAGATCTAAGCCAGAAAATCACCAACCCAGATGAACTGCCATACAAACCACATACCACAACATTAATAAGTAGAAACAGAAATCTGCAATTAGAATAATAATGTATGTTAAAGAAATCCAAATCTACGTTCACACACCCAAGGCTAATAACGCTATAGCCTCTACGCTTCACACTAAGAATTGTTTCCTTTATTTATGGCATTACCGTTCGTCTGCTGACTATTTCCTGTTCCGACGATTGCACCTGTTTGCCCACGACAATAATATCTTCACTTTGCCTTAGCTTAGTCCGCCCACGTCATTAAGACTAACTCGTCTACATTACGAATAATTAACATTACTTGTATTCCGTGAACTTCCGATTTTCAAGAAATAAGAAGACCTCTCGTACAAATGGGACCAACAAAGCCACTCTAACTATATCGACAAACAAAGGAACACTAACGCATTGCTTCCATAACAGAGGGAAGTATTTATGTGCTTGAGGTACACATTTGCGATACAAACCTGAGAAGCTCTATCAGCACTCACCTATATAAGAGGAAATTCCGCGGACCTCCGACGCGAGCCCACAGGATGCTTGTAAACAATGGAGTCGGGCCTACTTGGGGGTCATGTAATAG